AAAAATGTTATCTACACATTACATCCCATGCATTATCACATAAACATGATGCTCATAACATTATTTGGTAATTTGTTTAGGGCGTAACAATGAGGGTGTTACAGATACCAAGTAGCTGATGAGTTAGGAATCGTTGTTATTTGGTGTTTTTATATTTTTAGGTTCATGTAAAATTCATATAAATACAGGGGTCATATGTTAAGAACAAAAGTATACCAACAAAAGTAAGAGACTCCACCATAAAGTTTCTGGTTTCAAGGCATTGTAGGAATATATTTGGAACATTGAAATTGAAGTTCAATTGAAGAATAGAGGGTTTTGGCTTAATCTGCCAAAACTGGCCTAGCCAAGTTCCGTTTCCTGTGAGCTGTGTGGCAACAAGTCCCGGCCTCAAGAAAACCAACTAGGCCGGTTTTCAAAACAGGCCAAGCCGGTTGTCGGTGCGAAAAGTGACCGACAAGTAAATATTTGTAGTTTTACCGTGCGTTGTGATTGGATGTGGCCTAGCACGCGATGATACAGGATTTATACTGGTTCAAGTAATGTGCCCTACGTCCAGTTTCAGTCGGTCGATGACTTTATTCCTGAGCCCAGGTGCTCAAAGTTTGATGTGGGGTTACAAACGAATAAGAATGAGAAGGGGGTGTTAAAGGCCCAGTCGGACTCTGAACCGAATGGCAGAGAGTGACCGGTGCTCTAACGTGCGCTAAGTATTAGAACGTATCCTCTGTGTTGCTATCGAGTTCTAGAGCTATTGAGCTGTTCGAGTCCTCATGTCGTCGAGTCCTCGAGTCGTCTAGCCTCTCCCCCTATTGGGAGAGAGCGCATCCCATTTTATAGTTGAAAGGGATGGACTTACAAGTCAGAGAGAAAAAGAGAGAATGTATACGTGTGCTACCTAGTCGTGTTACCCACGCTGTCAGGTATGAGACGGTCATCGGCGCCCACAACACTATTTATGTTCAGACGCATCTGGCAGGCTCTACCATGTTTGCCTGGTACGACAAACGTCGGCGCCTACAATATCATTTGTGCTCTGACACGTCCGAAAGGTTGTATAGTGCCCATCTGGCATGACCTGGTGGCACCGTCCTTATCTACTCCGCCAGATTCTCGGGCCCTCACCGAGCGGGCGTCCTTAGGTCAGTTGTTCCTAGTCGGTCCCGACCGTGTCGGTCAGAAAAGAGCAGCGAGTAGAGGTCTGGCGTATCCTCGGTCGGAGTCAGACTGTGGTACCACCTTGGCTAGGCCTTCCGATCGGGGACCGGATCATCGTCTCATCCTGTCATTATGTATCTGGGCTGGCCCAGGCATGCGTTGTTGCTGCGCCGCCTACTGGGCTAGGTTTTGAAGGGAAGCGGGTCCATTGGGGACCTCAAGTTTATGAACCCGACACCGGTTTCCCTGTTCCGAGACCAGGTTGAATCCAACTCGGTCTAGACCTATTTTTAGTTATGAAAAACTTGAAGATTGCGTTTTGGAGATATTTTCTACTGGGATAAGACCACCACCTCTATGTTTATGAGAGGATGATCACGACCGATTGAGGAATCCAACTTTTAATTGTCAAAAAATACATCTACTATCCATTTTACCCTACTTCTCCAACCCTTGATGTTCGTCACGTCTCTCGACGATATTTGACGGAGTTTTATGTGGCTTTGTAAAAGATGAGCATGCAGCCCGCGGCACGTTGGTCTGGCCCGAAGCACAGTTTTTTGGCCCGGCCCAAGCACGGCACAGCCCGACTCTTCGGATCGTGCCTGGGCCGCACCCTAGGCACGTCGGGCGGAATGGCACGGCCCAGTAAAATAGCCAAAGGCCCGATTAAGGCACAACACCAACTCCCAAGTCCTAATCTGGCCCATACACTAACTCGTCCATTCTAGAACTCCCATCTGCTATCTCAGTCTCGACTGCGCACCCGCTCCCAGGTCGCGACTCCGCCGCTTCCCCTCCCCCACGTCAGATCTAGGCGTGCCTCCTTCTCCCCGACGCGCGAGCACCCGCTGGCCGAGTGCGATGCGCGCCTCCCACTCCCGGGCGTGAGCCTCCCTCTCCCTGTCGCGTGAGCGACCGCCGGCCGAGCCCGATGCATGCCTCCCTCCCCTGACGTGCGCCTCCGCTCTCTCCCTGATGGCCGAGCACGACACCTCCTCCGCTGGCCCCGTGTTCATGGACACTGCCGCCTGCCCACCTCGCCGTCGACTGGCTGCGCAGCTGCGCCCTTCTCCTCTTCCTCCCTGCTCCCCTGAGTCCCTGGCGGCGACTGTGCAGGCCACGGGCCGGCCCCGCCTGCAAAATTGGCCATGCTTTTTGGGCCGGCCCGGCAGGAAAAGCGGCCCGGAGGGCCGTGCCTGGGCCGTCGGCCAGGCACGAAGGACTGGTGCGGCACGGCACGGCCCGGTGGCCCAGCGGGCCCTTCCATGCCGTGCCGGGCTGGGCTGCCCGTTTGCTCATCTTTAGGCTTTGTTGATCTAGGGCAACCTCGTTGTGTCTTTCTCCGACGGGTCATCTCGGGAGGTATTCAGGAGTTTACCGGACGAAGGATCGGTCCAACCAACTTGATGGTTGTGGTCTCACTGTTCTATGGCGTTCTCGCTGAGGTCATGGCACATGTGCGAGCTGGAGCGTGCTAGCCCTTACTAATGTTTGACCTGATTCAACGTCAACGACTTTATTTTTAGAAACACATTGCACTTAACCTACATCCATTAATTAAACAGAATATAGAACACCCGTCTGCCAACCATACACATTGCGCTGTCCAAAAACGAGCGTACGCTCGGGGAACGATCAGGAGGACTGCTGGAGTTGGATCTGGACGGGCCGTAATGTTTTGGGCTGTTTTGAGAAGGTGGGCTGTATGTGGTGGGTCTTGCCTCTGCTTTTGGGTTGTGAGACCATGTTGGGCTGGCCTTTCGGTAGTTCCGATGAGCCCCCCTTCTGTTTTTTCCCCCTAATATCAATATGTGTTTGACACATGATTTTGGTCAAGAGGAACACTAACGGCATAGAAAGCTTCAAGCAGACTACACATGTGAATCCGTTGCGACATACGCGTCGTTTCTGTTTTAATTATTGTTCGAAGCACACTTCCATGGCTCTTTCAAAATCCAAACCTTTGAAAGATGTCGGAACAGTATCAGCCTGTTCGGTTGGCTGGTTCGTTTCGTTGTAGGTTCGTGAAGAAGTACTGCTGGCTGGTTTGTGTGAGAGAAAAATACTATTCTGACTAGAAATTTACGATCGTTTACGATAAGCCACAGCCAAACGAGCATGGTGATGGTAGTCAAACCTGCATGCGCTGGAACCCTGCACAGCACAGCGCAACTTCTTCCGTCCTTGTTCTCGTTGCATAACCGAAAATAAAAAAGAATGCAAGTAGCAGCCGTATGCGTTGTCTTTGGCCCTGTGTGAACTACTAGTATATGATTGCCATTTCCGTTCGCTCCGTCCCCTTTCTGCACAGCCTTCGCCAGCGCAAAAAGGTCAAGGTGCATGCCCCTTGGCTACTGTTTATTTACTCCTATTGCCCTATTGGACAGATTTGTTAAACGGGGTTGGTGTGGTGTTGTAACGGCGACGCGGAGATTGCCCCGGCAGGGATAGCGCACAATCTTGTGAGTCGCCGCGCTTGAACACCACCCCCCCCTGCCGCCGCGCTTGGAAATGGATCGATGAAACAAGGTGCTCCATTCCCCTGCTACTAGCCGAAAGGAAAGGCGTCCAAACAATTCATATGGCCATGCCCAGCTCGTGTTCTTTCTTTATCCCGTGGCGGTATCCGCATGGGTTTGACAAGCGTGAAGCGTGCATCGCATGGCCACAGGTTGTAAACACAAGCCAGAATCAACGATGCCCCCTGCATTTGTCAACAATGCCTAGGAACTGCTGTCGTCGTCTGAGACACACGTTCACAAACAATTTCGCATCGCGATTGTGAAACGCATGTCTCTGCGGATGCATTCAGTTAGTTATGCAGTGAAAGAAGTGGCGTCATCAACTCATCATCCGTGTTTTGATCAGGTCCCTTTTGAGTCCGGTCTCTCTGAATCTGGGCCCGATCGATGTAAAGGAAAAGGTGAAGTGTTATGCAGTAGCTAGCTATCGTTCAAAAAAATAAAAAAATAAAAAAAATGTTATGCAGTAGCCACATACAGCGACGGATCCAGGAAAAATTTTAGGGAGGGTTAAACAACACATACCTCCAACTGCTAGTCGATCTTAAATCTTAGCTCACCTACATTGTAGAACTTTGCCTAAAAATTAATGGAGACTTCAAAAGGGTTCCGCTGCTCGGTATGGGTAGGGGGTGGCGCGGAAGGCCGGGACGGGGAACGAGCTGCACCGCACCTTCCCGGACCATTTTTTCTAGTAGGGGCAAAGCACATGAAAATGGCGCTCTTCAGTCTTCACCGCGTGCCTGCAGACTGAGGTGTGTGTGGGTTATGGGGGGTGTATTTGTAGAAGCAAACCAGATTTTTAAAAACACAAATACAGTACTGGTCACACAGCGCAAAACATTTTTCAAAACAAACGGCCACGGCGCACAGACAGGGACGAACAATAATACGGTCGGGGCCGGGCCGCGGGGACGGCTCCGCAAATTGGTCGCACCTGGCCCACGCCCACTATCCTTCCCAGGCCAGGCCCCGAACGCACTGGTGCTGGTGGTGCCTCGAGGTCAAGGCTGCCGCTATAAAACGCGCCTGCGCTCCCCGCAGACCGCAGCTGCAGCCTCGCTTGCTGGCCTACCTTGTTGCGAGTATCTTCTGCCAGAAACACACGCCCGCCCCGGCGGTCCGGCTGCTGCCGCGCCCCCGAGCACAGAAACCCACACCGCCGCTGCAGCCGCGGCCTGCCACCACCACCCTATCCCGATCCCCACCACGGCTGCAGGTTCCCCTCCCTTTCCGACGTGCGCGCGTTTGTTCGATCAGAGCGGGGCACACACAGCCTGAGAATTCTGTTGGAGCAGGCAACAGCGCAGTGCCAGCATGGGTCGGGCGCCGTGCTGCGACAAGACGAGTGTGAAGCGGGGGCCGTGGTCGCCCGAGGAGGACGAGCTGCTGCGGAGCTACGTCCACAACCACGGCACCGGCGGCAACTGGATCGCGCTCCCGCACAAAGCAGGTGCGTTCTATACACCGGCAACTGGATCGATGCTTATTGAGTATAATTCTGATGGTTGCACCGTTCGTCCATGGATGTGCAGGGCTGAACCGGTGCGGCAAGAGCTGCCGGCTGCGGTGGCTGAACTACCTGCGGCCGGACATCAAGCACGGCGGCTACACGGAGCAGGAGGACCGGATCATCTGCTCCCTCTACAACTCCATCGGGAGCAGGTGGTCCATCATCGCGTCCAAGCTGCCGGGCCGGACGGACAACGACGTCAAGAACTACTGGAACACCAAGCTCAAGAAGAAGGCAATCGCCATGCACCAGCATCACCACCAGCAGCAGGAGTACTACCACCAGCAGCAGCCGCACAGCTCAGGCGGCGGTCGGGGCCGCCGCGGCGCCGCCGCTCCCCGGAGCCAACAATGCGCCTCCTCCATGCAGCCGTCGCCCGCGTCCGCCTCGTCCGCGGTCACCACCGCGAGCGCCAGCGACGCGTGCAGCTTCGGCGCCATGTACCCCTCCCTGCCAACGACGCTGCAGGCTGCTGCTCCGGTGCTCGCGCGCTACGACGGCACACTGCCGCCGGCGCCGCAGCAGCAGCAGCAAGCGTCTTCGCTCGCCGAGTTCTCCGTCGCGCCAGCGCCGCCCACCGGCGCCATCAGCGGCACCTGGGCTGGCGGGCTGCCGCTCGACGACATGTTCCTGCCGGAGCTCCTAGGCGACAGCGAGTTCCCGCCTGGCGGCGACTTCTTCGGCACCGGGTTCGCCCCACTGCTGCTGCAAGACAGGGCGGCGTCGGCGTCCCTGCAGGAGCTCTCCGCGTGCTACTTTCCCAACGCGCAGGCCGAGATGTGGGCGGCAGCGGATCATCACGTTAATGTCAAGCCGCCGCCGGCCGGCCTCTGCCACAGCCTGACATGACCGAGGAGACTACACTAATTAACGCGTGCTCAAAGCTTCGGCAATGACTACTCATGCAGGGCTAGCGTGTCTCTTCCTAGTCGTTCTTGGCTCCCTGTCCATCGATATGATCTCTCTCTGAGTATGAGGTCATCACATGTACATTATCTCTCTCTCCATATGGTCTGTGACTAGCTAGCACCATATCATAGAGAAATTATTAGAGATGTGGATCGCCATTGCCTTGTTTGCCTTCTCTTCTGCGTACCAACCAGTCAGTCAGTCACTGTTCAAAACTATTCTTCAGTTGCCATTGTTTCTCACTGTGATAATGACATGGTAGGGCTCTCTCTCTCTTCCTGCCTGCCCATCTAATTGCAATTTGGAGATGAAGTCGTAGCTTCCGAGCAAACAAGTCGCCTCAAGTCTAAGCACCTAATTAATTCACGTAGAATTTAGTAGTAGCCGCGACCTGTCGCTTGGGAGGGAGACTGTCAAATCGATGTCGCCACCTGGATATGATATCTGGCGCGCCTTGCTTCTCAATCTGTGACCTGAGAGCACTTGCTTCTCGGTGCGCTGTGCTTGCGTCCGCGCGCGTTTCCTCGTCATGATCATGGTGCTGACGACGACGGCCGACGAGCGCTGAGGCGGCGACGGACGAAGCCGGGGCCGCGGGGGGCGGGGGGCTGGTGCGCGCGCGCGGGGGGTGCCGTGTGCGCTCACGGCATCCATCGGCATGGACCAGCGCATCATGAGGCTCGCGTGCATGCACGTACCGAGACGTACGGTGCAAAGGGTAACCAACAGTGCCCCGCGCGCGCGGACTCGGTCCTCCTCGCCGACCCGTTCCATGCGATGACGACGAGCGAGGCCACCGCGAGATGGGCGGCGCCAATCACCGGCGCGGCGCGGCGCAGCCAGAAAAAAAACGTAAAACGAGGCGTGTGGACGGAAGCAAACTTGCGCGTTTAGTTCAACCCCAGATTCCTAAAAAGTGCTATAGATCACATCGAATCTTGCGATACGTGCATGGAGCATTAAATGTAGATGAAAAAAATTAATTATACAGTTTGGTTGGAAATTGCGAGACGAACGTTTTGAGCCTAATTAGTCCATAATTGAACATTAATTATCAAATAAAAACGAAAGTGCTACCATAGCTCAAAATCCAAAATTCAGACAACTAAATACGGCCGATTGACGAGAAGAACGGATGATTGTTGATTGGATTGTATTGGATTGGATTCTCTGTGGAGTACCAAACCTTGCTGTGCATTTGATTAAATAATGGTACTTTCCATCTGGTTCCAGTGTTTGATCTTTGTCATATGTCTCGATGCATGTGTCGCTCTTGGAGCACATGGCCGTTGGGATTGTTTAGGCATGCCCCTCCCATTGTTTATCACAGGATGTTTTGACACTTGTGGTGCGAGAGAAAGGTGGCACCGTCTAACTAGTATAGCGGCTAAGGTCTGTCTACTTTTCTAGTAGTACTAATTTGTCGTAGCACGCACCTAGATGACCACGTGCTAACTATAATCAACTTCCAGAAGCTTCTTTGCCATGTACTATATATGCACTCACGCTAGCTACCGATTGAGCGCTAACAATTACAGGCGCAATAATTCTCTCACTCGATCGTCGACAAAAAGATTCAATACCGTGCATTAGCCTTTTCGTAATCGACACCGAGTCACCGAGTACGAACGAGCCTTTCTTCGTCTCTTTTGTCATGGATCGGTCACAAGAAACCGGCAGACGCACCTTTCACGTGAACAGTGACGACGGCGGCACGCGTATGCATGCTAATCTCGCACATTAGAAAACACTCGGCCTTTTCGTTCGTCGTTCGGTTTCTGGGCTGATAAGCTCGACTAGTGTTGATTCGTTATGAGAAAAAAAATATTGTTGGCTGACTGATAAGACCTAACTAAAACCAACAAGCGAATAGACTCACTGTAGATTCGGATGGAGCACCGAGCACATACATATACTTGTATGACATCCTTGGTGACACACACAAAACACATGACACCACCAATCATCGTCCCATTATTATAATACTGCGCCCCATATCTTTTACTGCATCGGGACTCGGAATAAGGCCAGAGAGAGACGAGATATGCATGGCATGGATGGACGGATGGATATGGGCCGCTCCAATATTATTTTTTCTTCCTGGAAGGATTCTGCAGCTTGCTAGTACTAGGTCCGTGTCAAAGCGCACCTGTCACCGGCCGGTCAGCGGCGCGGCAGAGGTCTGCTGACGACGCTGCACCGGGCGCGCGGGGGGGCCCTCGGTCCTGGCTGAAGAAGCCTGATCAAAGGCTGAAGGGAAGGTTCGAACTGGCCTGCCTTGGCAGCCTTGCCCGGTCTCCGCCCGTTCGTCCGTCCGTCCGCCCATGACGCGCGCACGACGCACCAGCAGCACCATGCCAGTGGCCATGGTTACAACCATCGTACGTATCTCTTCGACCAGTCACAGTGTCACACCACGCACGCACGCACGCACGCACGCGATCCAGGCGTCCAGTTGCAAGCCCCCTTGCCGCCCTCTGATGTGTCATCGATGGGTGTGGGATGCATTGCCGCCCCTCGAAGCGTCACGTCGCACGTCACGGGCAACGGACATGGGCCCAAGCACGTATAGCTAGCTAGGACGACTCTGCGTGCTAGAAGAGGAGTGTACTATATACTAGTAAATCAGCTGGCCATCCTTTCCTAGGAGTATGTCTTCATAGGAAACCGATCGTGATCCTTATCTGCTAGCTCCATCGTTTAAAGAAAGTGCAAAGCGTTCGCTCTGATTGGCATGATCCCAAAGCCCGCCCCAAGGGGATTGTTTAGTGAAGGCCGGGGTGATTACAAAACTGAGATGGTCGGTGGCCTGACGGAGGATGGCCTTTATCTTCGTCATGTTTGTTTGGCTTATAAGCCGTACTTTTTCAGCTAACGAATAATATTTTTCTCTTATAACAAATCAGCCAACAGTACTTTTAACTATGGCTTATCAGCCAAGCGAATAGGTCTTACCCTTTTGTGTTTCAGAAATGCCGTAATGGTATGGCTGTACACTGTCAGTGTGTAAAGCCATTTCTGCCGTACTTGTAGAAATAAACTGGGCTTGCTTTTACTGGTGTCTAGCTTATGTTATGTCAGTCAAAGTAGTGCCTGTGCCGGTTGGGTCGCGGCAGTAATTGAGGCGGCCTAACTTTTGTGGGAAACTTGAGCCGGTTTGGTTCTTCGTTCTATCTATGTGCTACGTATTCTTCCTCAACAGTTAGCTTATTAATTCCTGTCCCCACATGGTCAAAACAACGGATAGAGACGGTAGTAATAATCGCTCATTGATAGGAACAGGACATGCATCTGGCGTAAATCTGAAGCTGCGAACAAAAGTCTGCACACTGCCAACAACTAGTCCAGTATACAAAACTGTACGTCTCGATCGTTTTCCCAGGGCTAAAAGCCGCGCGCACACCTGTTAGCTCAGATCAACGTTGTAACGGTGCCCTGTAGCTTTCATTCAGGCTAGCTGTGCCGCCTCAGTTGATCCTAGACCAACTTTCACACACAAGGGAGCAAATGCAAGAGACAGTCGATCGAGGAAAACTGGGCAAACGACTCGCTACACGTGTCTCCAGTGTCCATTGCTGGTTACTTGCAATTGCACGCCACATGCATGCATGCCGGCGGTTCCAAGTAAAGTGCACGAGCTGATGAGCACACCGTGCCTGCGTGACCGTGGTGGTGGGCGCCTCCACGGCGTACTGCGCTGCTGCTGCTAGCTCTAGGGCTCACTGAGAGTGCAAATCATCCGTGCAGTGTCTCTCCTAAATGATATGCGTCGCTTTCCCTACCAACCTAAAAAGGATAAAAAGGAACAAAAGGCTAACATCTTAGCTGCTGCACCCCCAAGTGTTTATGAAGCTGTCTGAAAAGGACTTGCACTTTCTTAAAACTTATGGGCGCAACGCACACGCGCAGGCGCAGCAACCACGCACACCTCCTGCAAACTGCACATCACACACACAGGGCTCAGGTGTGCCTAGCAAGATTACAGGCACCTTTTTTTGTTTGTTTCACTCCAGTAAAGTGTTCCCAGCAAAATAAAATGCATTTTATACATGACATTACCGGTATTTGGCACCAGTAGTAAGTATTCGGAATTAGTATTCGGAATTACTCCCGTTGTAAAAAGAATGCAATTATAGGCACACAAGGCTCATGTATGCCTAGCAAGATTATAGGCACTTTTTTTTTGTTTCACTCCGGTATTGCCAGCAAAATGAAATGCATTTTATACACGACATTACTGGTATTTGGCACCGGTGAGTATTCAAAAATAGCACTGTAGCACGTGGGTAGCTAGATTTTTCATTCGGACATTTCGCTATTTTTCATTCGGACATTCGGAGTAAACGATTTTGTTTGTTAGTTTAATTGTAATTGTTGTCCACTCCTCCATGCATCTTTACTAAATCGATCGGTACGAACAATACGTATAGCTATTGTCAACCATATCCTTGACTTAAACCTATTGTCATCTTCCCCTCCTCTTCCTTTTACGTCTTACTCTTATTCTGTAGTTGTACAATCTCTATCGAGGCCACCAAATCAAGGCAACATTTAGTTTTTTATTGATGAGCTTCATTACTCAGTAAAACCATTGTCCAAGTCTCTCACATACTACTCCATTTCTTAGTCATCTTGTAAATTACTTTTTGGATCATCTTGTATCTTTTCTTGTGAGCCGGTAGTTCCTTTTTGCCCTAAATATCGGTAGATCAATCACAATGTTGCTCATATATGTTACAGCCATTATTGCACCTTGTAACATTATATTCATTGGCGCGTCAAGCATTCCCAAACAAACTACGAAAAGTTCTTTGAAGTGTGTAAACAACCCCCCCCACAACCCCCCCCACACACACACAACCCCTAATGCTCCTTGTGGTTTCTTTGATTTTTATTATATGGCAAAATCTAGCTATAATGCATGCTGATTGAATCCTATG